TAGAACAACTTTCACCCTTTAGGAAGTATTGGGGAGAGCATCAGTTCATCCTCTCCCTTCCTTCTTCACTCTATCCAAAGTGGGGTGACTAGATAATCTATTGGGGAAGCAGGGAACAAATTGTGAATGTGACCAACTCCTTTTTTTCTTCAAGCTCTGATTTCAGATTTGCTGTGCTACTAAGAACATCTGTTGTGGGCCCCTGATTCTGCACCTCAGGATGACCTGTTCTCCATCCCCCACTCTCCACCCCAGCCCTGAAGGTCCATTCAGGATCAGCAGGTGTGGCGCAGGCTAGCAAGGGAGCCCATACTCTGCTTAGGGAAGTCCTACGGTCTAGACTGGGGAGAAGTAGAATTCTTACCTCTTGTCCCAACTCAATGCTGTGTTCCCCAGCACAGCTTTCCCACCTCTGAAGCTGACATCTTTGTCCCAGTTTGATAGCTGAGACTTTTTCTCAATTGGATCAGAACCCATGGGGGTGGAGTAAGGGAGAAGATGTGGCTGGAAATGCTGAGATCGCAATGAAACCAGAAAGTTGTATAGAGAGAAGACCAAGAGCCAATGACTTGCAATAGTGGTGGATCTCTAGGAGAGATAATAAAAAAACATTCCACAGCTCAGGGGATGACAGGATAACCCAATCCCTAGGGCTGTTCTTGGAGTTGGAGCCACCTTCATAACCCAATTATGCTTCTGCCTTGGTTTGGTCTACAGCTCCCTGGAGATGCCTGTCTCTATTCTTACAGATACATCCTTGAAACAAGTTTCCTTGCTTATCTTAACTTGAGTGAATTCTTAGCATCCAGAAGAATCCAAGTAACATGGAATGAAATCTTAATATAAAGACTTCCTCCATCCCCAGAGATTCAATATGCTTCAACCAGGAAACTATTTTGGGGAGCGCTAGCCTACACCAGGCGCTTCGTTAGACCTTGAAAATAATACCTAATACTTACAAAATTTTCTCTAGATCAGGCACTTTCCCCAGCTCAACCTAGCTTATCTCATTCTCCTAGTAGAATTACATAAGTAAAATTATTTCATTTACAGATGAGGAAACTGAGGCCAGAGAATTTAACATGCTCAAGATCTCAGCGCTAGCAAGGATATGTGTCTTAATTTGGATTCTCCTTCCTCCATCCCAAGACAAGGAATTGAATGCAAGCAGGGGAGTAAAGATGAGGGCGTAGGGGAGTGAGACAACAGGGAAGACAACTGTGCAAAGGTGCTTTGTCAAGTGCAGTTAATTTTATGTGTTAATATAATGGGGCTAAGGGACACCCAGATAGCTGGTTAATCATTATCTCCATATGTGTCTATGAGAGTGTTTCTGGAAGAGATTAGCATTTGAATGGATAGACCGAGTAAAGAAGCTGGCCCTCACCAATGTGGATGAGCTTTATCCTATCTGCAGAGAACCCAAATAGAATGGAAAGGCAGAGGGAGGGTGAAATTGCTCTCCCTCTGCTTGAATTGAGACATCCATCTTTTCCAGTGCTTCTGGTTCTCAGGCCTTTTGGACTTGACCTAAATTATACTACCAGCTTGCCTAGTTCTTGAGCTTGTGGATGGTCAATGATGGGACTTCTCAGCCTCCAAATCACATGAACCAGTTTCTACAATAAATATCCTCATATAGAAAGAGTATCTATCTATCTATCTATCTATCTATCTATCTATCTATCTATCTATCTATCTATCTATCTATCTATCTATCTATCATCTGTCTGTCAAAGCAATCTAGCAATCCAATTATCTATGTATAATTTATCTATGTATAATCTATGTGTCCAGCCACCCATCTACCCCATCCTATCCTTTAATCTACCCATCATCCTATCCCATCTATTCACCTTTCCTTCCATACATCTAACCCTCTATACATCCATCCATCTATCCATCTATTCATGCATCCATCCATCTGTCCATCCAAAAGGATAGATATCTATAGATCCATCTCTCTATTTATAGAGTTAAATATATCTCTATCCTCTGTTTTTCTGGAGACCCCTGTGGGTAAGTGGATTTTGATCCCAATGGGGAAATACTGGGACCCAAATACGTCACAGCTTCAGAGATCACCCAAACAGGGTATAACAGGACAGGGAATCTCTGCACTCACTTCTGTTGGGCCTTGGTTGAGTGCTGCTCCTGGTATGTGGGGAGGGGGACAGTCATTCACTGGCACTCTGGTCAGCCCTACAGGTGGCAAAGCAGACTCCATGATCCAGCAAAGTCCTCACGTTCACATGCCAATCACTGTCCTTACTGGTTTCTCATACTTTTTTTTTCAATTTATTTTTATTTTTCATTTTTGCATAGAAGAACTGGGGTGTAAGCCAGAGGTGTAGGGGTTGAGGATTCACCAGAGACAGAGAGGGGAACAGAACAGGTAGATTTACCAAAACACACTGCTTAACCCCTAGGCCACCAGGAAGGCCCTGACTTCTCATACTTGGTGCCACCATGCACTTTCTGTAATCAAGCCAGAGCCAGAATAACAGTTGTTTTGTTCAACATAGGCAGGATTCGTTTTTCTCATCAACATTGAAGTGAAACCATGGTGAACAAAGTGACATTATTCAAGAAACTGGTTTTGCTGTACATCATTTTGCTTCAAGTCACAGTTTCCAAAAACTTATCAAAACAAGGAAGATGTTGAGTGAGGATTAACCATACTAGATTAGGAGCGCCAGCTCCTGTGCTCTGAAGCCTGCTGAGTCATTCAAACCAGTCAACCCACAAGGAGCCTGGGAGGCCTAGGTAACACCGCTCTGCTGGCCATAAGCTGCCCCCCTAGCAGCAGCAGCTAACTCGACTCTGTCCCTGGGAGCAATCCCTGTGTGAGCCTAAGTGGTAGCTTTGACTGTAAGTTACAAAGACTTCTTCTGCTTGTCCCCTATATGAGTGTGGAGTCATGTTCTGCCATCAAAAGGATGGCTAAATCTTACACAGCAGCCTCTGAACTGGAATCCCTGGGTCTGCCACTTAATCGCCAAAGGCGCCTATGAAAGTCACTGCAGCTCTCTGAGTCTCAGTTTTTTCATCCATCAAGCAGGGCTATAAAGAGCAAATTCAATAATTTTTCCCCTCCCCCTTTTGTTTGCCCAGAGTCAGTTGGGGCATGGGAGAGCAGGACTGAGCAAGTGTTTAGGGCTGGGAATTTGGCGGGGGTAGGAACACTTCTCCATGGCCTGGACATCTCAGGATAAAAATATTAACTATTTCATCCATTGAGGGGGAGAAAGTCTATAGCTGTCAGCAGGAGCCACCTCTTGCCCTCCTGCTCAGGGGCCCGTCCCCCACACCAGGGGTAGAGAGAGGGCCCAGGAGGACAGTGAAATGAAAAACACCGGTCCATTTTCCATGCATGGGGGATGTTGGTGATTCTGGAGTCAGCTATCTTGCAACCTGTTTGTCCAGAACCTTACATCTAAATTAGGTCCCTCCAAATTTAATAAATGAGGTTTAATAGAATGCACTCAGGCGGCACTGATGAAATCTGTTGTGGAAAATATTACGATTGCATTGTTTTTGTATAACCTCCTTGGAAGCTGCTGCTTCTTGTTTCTGGGCCTCCCACCTTCCCTCCCATTTACAGGTGTTTAAGTTTTTAGCTTCGCTGTGGAGCTCGGAAGCCCGTGAGAGTGGTTTCCTCTCTCTCTCCTCCATTATCCACGGCAGGGAGGGGCTGAAAGACTTGGTCTCACCCAGGTAGGGAGTAAACAAAGTCGTAAACAGTGGTTTTAAAAAGCAGTTGGTTTCACATGAAAAAGTTCTGTGTTCAATTTGTCTTCTGTACCTAGAAGACCACCGTGGCGCCTCTCCCCCAGGGAAGGGTATGGACTATTTCAGCCCTGGGAACAACCCATGTCTTGGAAATCCTGAGCTGGAATGGGGAGAGGAGGTAACTTAGTGGCAGAGAACCCCCTGCTCTCCTCATACTTAATTCCCTGACAACCCCTGAGGTAGGTCCTCTTGTTGTCACAGGTTACTGAAGAAGTTGAGACTCAGAGGGATCTAGTGACTTCCTCAAGTCACACAGCGCCAAGTGATGGAGGCGGGATATGAACTGAGCGAGGCTTAATTATTCAAAGTCTGTGGCCTTAGCTCCTTTACAAACTGCCTTCTGCCGTCTCATTTTACATGCAGGGAAACTAAGGCTCAGGAAAGTGAAACATGGGTCATGGGTAAGATCAGACTGCTTCAGAAGACAGGCAGGCAAGAGAAGTTTCCTCTTATTCATGGTCAGCCTATGTTCTATCCAGGTTTTCAATGGGCTGGATGAGACCTACCCACCTTAGTGAGGACAACCTGCTTTATTTAGGTTAGCAACTCAGCTGTTCCTCTCCTATAGAAACCTGCTCACAGACATACTCAGAATAATGTTTGACCAAATGTCTGGGTACCAGATAGTCAGTTGAGTTTACAAGTGAAATTAACCATCACAATGTTCAAAAATTGTTAATAAATATCATTTTTATTTTTCAGACGACACTTCGGTGTTCCTATTTTTATTAGGGGATAAAAATTCTGTCTACACCCTGGGATGCTATGAGATATAAATTAGATAACATCTATAGAGTTTTTTAGGGTGATATGTAGCTCCAGACATTTTCAGGAATTGAAGGCAAGGGATTATCCCAAATGACCTTTGCAGTTTTCTTTTGCTTTTAGAATTCCTCAGCACTGAAGGACATCAGTGTGTGGTAAGCATTGGCTATGGAATTGGGGAGACTCAAAAGAATAGTGATTTCTGCCCTTAGGAAATTTATAATCTCATTAGGAGAACAAAATCTTCAGGAATCCAAATATGCCTGGATTCCTGGCTGAGCCAACGTAGAGACAAGGAATATGGCAGAGACTGGCCAGATGCTAGAAATTCTATTTCTTTTTCTTGACCACACAGGAAGATCAAATGGCCCAGCTTTTAGGCCTTTGGCCAAAATGTGGCTGGCTGTTTGAAAGTTCCTCCATATTCTCTCCCCAGCTTCTGCAGTGACTGCAGAGGTCGTGTATTAAAGACCACAGAGGCTCATGATGAAAGGAACTGGGGTCCCTGAGTCATCACCTAGAGAAGAACCTTCCAACCTGCATGGAACTGTGAGGTCAGTGGGACATAAACCTGGCTTGTCTTAGGCCACTGAGCTTTGGCTTGGTTTGGTAAAGCAGCAAGCAATACCCTTTTACATTACACAGAATATATGATTCCAGAAATAGCTCTTTCCTCTATTTGCATATACTGATTTGCCCTGGAGGCTTCTGGAATAAAAGAATTCATTAGCCTCAGTGACTGGTGTTCAGATACAGCAAGCATGCACTCAGGATAGCATGGTGATAGTGATGGTGAAGGTGGTAAGTGGGGAAGACACTCAATGAGAAGAGATTGTAGAGACAAGCGTTCAAGTGAATCTGCTGGTAGGGAAAATGTTCAATGGGCTTAGTGACTCAATCTCAGCAGAAACACCTGGAAGTTGGAGGAAAAGAGTAGTTCTGGAAAAAAAAAAGGGCAACTTTTACTTTGTTCAACCTGGACTTGTCTCTGTTGACAGAGAAGGGCCGTGTTTGCAGAAATGCAAAGTGCTGCCACACTGTGGTCCCAAGCACCAGATAATAGGAGCTCCTGGGGTGCAGGGTGAGGGGTGAGTTATGCATGATAACAGGGAGGTTGGGGCCTGGAAGGGAATGTAGGAAAGCAGTGCTTCAGGCTGGGCCTTGGAGGGGTGGTGGTAGGGGAAACAGTGGCCGCAGGAGTGCCAAATACCAGGGACTGCATAAGGTTATGCAGTCTGGGGACCACCCCCCCAGCTTCTGGATGGGGACTGGAAGTTTGAATGGGGGGTCAGAAAGGGCATGGATTATGGAGCTGGAGAACCTCAGGTGCACCCTCCCCATGACTATGTTCATGCAAACCAGTGGAGGGCCCTGGGAAGGTGCAGGGCACTACCGAGACCAGGTAGTGTGTCAGTAAATGCAGATTTAACACCTAGCAGCCTGGGCAGAGAAATGCCAGTGAAGATTCACAGCCAAGGAATCACAGGGGCACCAGTGGGCTCAGCCTTGCTGCCCAAGGACACCGGAAGATGGATTGTGACTCTAAAACATTGCAACAAGGCCCCAGTGGTGGGGGACCCTTGCTTTCTTTCTACCTTGCTCCAAACAGTTCGCAGTTTCAGGCTTAGCTGTCAATTCCCTTCCCCTGCCATCTCTCGATAGGAAATAGCAGCCCTCATTCAGCACCCGTGTTCTGTCTCTCACCAATTTTTAGCTGCTTAGAAAAAAGAAATGCACATAAAAAGAAATGCAATTTAAAAAAATGCATGGCTGTAACTGATTTATTAATAGCCCATAATGCTGGTAATAGGCAATCTATAAGTCTGTTCTTAAGAATTTATAGGGCAAATATTCCAGAAACATATTAAAGACACCACTCATAAATGCCTGCAAGCTCCCATCTATTAACTTAGGTGGTGGGAGAATATCATTATCTGTAAGAAAACAAACAGAGATCCAGCCCCCAGGTTTGGTTTCCTCGGATGCTCAAAAAAGCACACAGTAAGTAAGCAAATTGTATGGCATGCCGTAGGCAAAGGGTCCAAGCATAGAAATCAGATGTTGGCTTTCTTAATGTGTACATGTGCATTTCAGAAAGAGTCTGTGCTCAGGACTTGCAGGAAGGGGTCACAATATCTTCACTGATAGGGCGGGGGCTGGGGAGAAGCACACGCTTGGGCTCAGGCATGAAAGCCTTTTCTTTATTCTTGATTCATCATTACTTGAAATAATTCAAAATATAAATGTGAACTATACTCACTATTGAATATTTGACAAATAATGGCAAGTGTTAAAAAATAGGGGAAAAATGAATCATATTTCACTCAGCCATAGGTGACCTCCTCTTTTAAATTGTCCTCACAAGGCCTCCCTGGTGGCCTAGGGGTCAAGTCTCAGTGCTATTACCCCAGCGGCCTGAGTTTGAACCCCCAACAGGGAGCTAACCCACATATGGCGCAGCAGACCTCTCTTGTCTTGCACACTGCTCCCCTTAGCAATGTATTTCAGTAGATCCACCTGTTCCCCACAACCCTTCCCTGCCCCCTGGCACCGCCGGCCTACACCCCAGTTCTTCTACGCAAAAATAAAAATAAAATAAATAATTTTTAAATATCATCCTTACAAAATGGTGGAGAGGTCACTTACATCAGAATTCCTGGGGTGGAGGGTGGGAACCTATGAAAAATGCAGATTTCCAGGCTCCACCCCAATCTACTGCATCAGGATATTTGGAAGTGGGGTTCTGGCACCTGTATTTTTGCAAGCAATCTGTATTTGGGGGTGTGAGAGCTGTGGTTTCTTAAGAGTTTGTAACCTCAGTACTGGTTCCCTAGTGGAAACTGCAGTCTGAGGGTGAAATCTCTTGGGAGCAGCCCACTTTCCTGTGGCCCGAAGGTGAAAACAATGAAAATACCCACCCGCTGATACACACCATGTGATCTTAGTCAGCCATAAACGCGAATGTAGTGGCGACACACGCAGCTGCAATGTGGAGGAACCTTGAAACATTATGCTAAGTGAAAGAAAACAAACAGGAAAGGACACATATTGTATGATTCCATTTATTCGCAGTAACCAGAGTCGGCACCGCCATAGAAACAGAAAGCAGATTAGTGCTTTCCAGGGGCTGGGGGGAGAGCATGGGTTATGGAGTTCCTTTTTAATGGCTAAGGAGTTTCTTTGGGGGATGATGAATGTTTTGGAGCTCGAGAGAGCTGGCATACATTTTGAATCTATCTAAGTGCCACTTTAAAATGGTCAATTTTATGTTGTGGGAATTTTACCTCAATGAAAACAATCACTTGAGAAAACAAACAGACAAACAAATGCAGATTTTTCTCTGGCTCTGTCCCAAGAGACTCTGTCCCAAGAGTCCATCTGCGGCAGCGCCCAGGATTCTGAATTGTTTGAAGGCATCTCAAGAGCTACTTTTTCTCCAGCACTAGGTTTGATTGCCCCTACCTGAGCTAGAATTAAAGCCATAAAGGAGCAGAGGGAAGACAGGGTCTGGAAAAAGGCAAGTCACCTGCAAAGTTAGAGTTTCTTTCCCTATTTCACGCATCTCGCCCATGACCTTAGTCTCTGTTATGACCTTAATCTCTGTTAAATGTTTTTTTCCCCACCCCTCAAGTTCGTGTGTTGAAACCTTACCCCCAATGTGATATTTGGAAGTGGGGTCCTTGGGAAGTAATTAGGTTTAGATGACATCGTGAATGTAGGGCTGCCATGATGTATTGTCCTTAGAAGAAGAGGAAGAGACAGGAGCTCATTCTTTCTCTGCCATGTGAGGACACAATGAGAAGGAAGCCGTCTGCAACCCAGCAAGGGAGTTCTCACCAGAAATAGATTCTTGACACCTTGGCCTTGAGTCCTAGCCTCTCATACCGCAAGCCTCCCAGTCTGCGGCAATTTTGTTATAGCAGCACAAGCAGACGTATACACTCTTAATACTTGACATTCCAATCATGACTTTGCTGATGTAGCAGCCCCAGGCTGGAGTGTCTTCTTTCTGAATCTCTCCCCAAACTTAGCCTCTACCTCAGCTCAAGTTCCAATTTCAGAAGACTTCTCCACCAACATGTCTTCCCCTCCCCAGGGCAATGGCTGTTCATTTCTAGCCCCTGCATTTAGGGAGTTGAGTTAGTCAGTCCTTGACTTCATTTAGTTTTGCTCTTCATGCATCTGTTTTCACTGGCTTCATTTTTTTTTTATCATATCAGTGTCACTTTTATCATTAAAATAATGAATATCATGCTCTGTGTTGGATGAGAATTCACCTGTCTCTCTCAGCTCTGTTTCTCTGAGGCAGGGTCCCTACCTTTCTCACCTAGGGGTTCCCCACAGGTCCCACACATATCACAGAGGACTTCTTCTCCAGAAGGCTCTCATGTTCAGCCAGCAATCACTTCTCTTCCCCTTACCTCCTGCAGAAACAACAGTGTTCAAAGCAAAAGAGTATTAGTAGTGTGGTTTATTGAGCACTTATTATGTTCTTAGCATTGGATAAATTCTTTATATATATCTTCTTGGATCCTTACAACCAACTTACAAAGAAGCTATTATAATTATCACTGTCTTATAGATAAGGGAATGGAAGCCCAGAAAGCAATTTGCCCCAAGTCAAAGATAGCAAAATAAAAAATGAGACAGAGTTGAAACTATAGCTGTGACCACTAAGTCCGTGTTTCTGACCACTACCCTTCTTGCATTTCTTGTGCATCAGTCAGAGCCCTTAGCTCTACTTGCTTTGAAGGCTGTGGTGCTCCCATCATTCATTCATTCATTCATTCATTCATTCATAAAACTTAGCAAGACATTACTGCTGGAGACTCAGAGATGAATGAATGGGATGATATCCCTGCTTGTATTTGAGATAGAGTCCTGTTGTTTGTTCACTGACAAACACCCACTTTTATTTCAGATTACTCCCTTTAGTGGGGTAATCTCTCCCCATTGCAGACAGAACGGTGAGACCATAGTTGGAGGCCTGCTCTACTCTGGTCAAGGTGTGGGCCTGTGCCCGTAGCAAGACCAGTCTGTCATCTCCTTCCTGGAACTGGATTCTGAGCAGAGGGGTGAGGGATCTGAGAGAGTCAAGGCGGTTCCCCTCCCAGCCATGGCATTGTGCCCAGATTCAACGTCCTTGGCTCCCTGGAGCATCTTTAGTGCATTCCCCAGGCCCATTCTCCAACCCTGCATTGATTTCATGAGCTCTGACATCCAGCTTCATTGCTGCTTAAGCTCGCCAGAGGCTGTCCCTGTCACTCACAACCAGTGAGCCCTGCCCTGTACGGGGAAGTAGTGTGTAAACTGGGGCACATGACATGGGGACCGATTCAGCCTAAGGGGCTGAGATGAGGCATCTTGAGAGAGGAAACCTCTAAATCTTGGAGGATGAAAAGGAATCAGTGAGATGTAGCAGGAGTTGGGAGAAGGGTGTTCATAAATAACAACTACTGACAGGAGCCCTCACTGGGTGCTTTTCTACCTTGCTGCCCATGATAACTCCTGTGGCTGGTGCTATTGCTGCTTCTATTTTATACTCCAGGCCCAGATAGGCAGTGTGATTTGCTCAAGGCCACCCAGCTAGAGAATGACAGAGATGGGATTTGAATCTAGTCCCATGAAGTTTTGGAGGCCTGATTTCACCTAGGGAGGTTCAAGGTCACTCCCCAGAGAGCCAGGCAAGGGATCCTTCTGTTCTGCTGGCCTTTCCAGCCATGTGGTTCCTGCCTCTGGCAATATTTGAGCATTCCTTGGGGAAGCCTGTGCTGTGTGTATGTGAGGCTAGTGGCTGAGATGCTTCTATTTCTTGCAGAAAGAGCCATCGTTTATTTCCTTTCAGGACAGTGGCCAATTACAGGAGTCAGGCAGCAGGCCCTTGCTAATTGCCTTTGTTGGCGGATCTCAATGCGTCCTTCACTGTGGCCCCAGCAGCAGCGGCTGCTGGACATCAGCCTCTGGGAAGAGGAGAAAGCTGCCAAGAGCAGTGAAAGCCAGGGAAGGCAGGCTTTCAGGGGTATGTGAGTGTGAGAATGTGGGTGTGCATGACTGTGCATGTGTCAGAGTATGGGCATGTGCCTGTGGAAGTGTGTGTGAATGTATGTGGGTGTGTGAGATGGAGATCGGAGGGGGAGACACAGACTGCAGTTGTCTCTCCTTCCTAGGTCCTTCCCTTTCTTATTTCCAACTACACTCCTTTTTCTTATTCAATTCTTTTTCTCCTTTCTTATACAAAATCACCAGTACATTTGGGGGGAAATTCATTTAGAAAAGCAAAAATATGGGGCCCAAACTGATTCCCTCAAACCAACCACTGTGAACAATTTGTGATCACCCACTTTTACGCTCTTTTGTCAAAAACAACCAGTGGCTTAGATTAATGTTTAGGTGATGTCAGAGCTTTGGAGACAGATTTGGCATATTTAAGGGCTTTTTGTAGATTTAGTAGACAGGATCTAGTGATGGGATAGAAAAGGGAGGAGAGGGAAGAGAGACGAGCGGGGAAAGGGTTGTGGGAAGAGGGCAAACCATGAATGGTGGGGCCCAGTGGCTTGGGCACTGGCTGGATGTGCTCACGGGGACAGGAGTGTTGGCGTGGAAGATGATCACTGTGAGCTTAGCCCCAGGGTTTGGGACGTGTTGGCAACAACTGAAAGGACATGTTGAACACGGATTGTTTCATAAGTGCTTGTGAAGAGAGATCGAGCCTGATGTGGTATTTGGGAATTGTCAACAAGTGACAGTTTCATGGTGGGCCTGAATATGGCTGCCTTGACAGAGACTAGAGTAGGCCTCAGTTTCCCCTCCCTAAGGGTCAGCCCACGTGCCTCCATCCTTCAACACTCTGACTCTAACAAAATGGATCCTTCCCTTTCCCCTGGGGTTGGGAAGTAGGGTGGGGTGAAACAAAGTGGGTTTTGAATGAAGAGAAGCATTTGATATAGAAAATGGAGATAAAATTTCCAACCTCCTAGGATCTTATCTGTACACATGGCTGGCATTGGCTGGTTCACATAAGGTGGCTTTAAGAGCAAGAGCAAGTGGCTTGTCAAGAAGCCCTGCCTGGTGGGGACTTAAGGGCGGCCATCAGACAAAAGCATGACCTTCGTCACTGCAGAATGGTGACACTTTGGGGTCCCCAACTCTCTTGCTTAAAGGCCTCCTAGTCCTCATGGAAGAATGATTGCCTCTCTTAGCATGTGGATCCATGCTCCAGGGTATAAAAATCTCATTCCAGTACCAACAACTAGGTTTGTCAGCTAAGTCTGTGGTCGCTTGAGAGCAGGTAGTGGCTGTACTGGCAGCAATAATGGAAGAACAAAGGCTAATGCCCAGCTTCTGGATTGGGGAGTGCACTGACCTTGAGGGGATGTGTCTGAATTAGTGTGTGTCAGCTACTGAGGTTAAAGTTGAAGAGAAGAAGTGGAGACTTTTCTGCCTGTTTGGGTAGGTAGTCTCCCTAAGGAAACTATAAATCTGTAAAAGGGTGGCATCGTATGTCCTTGTTTGTGATATGCTCACAGACATTTTGATAGCTTCCATTCCCCCCATTATTAGTGTGCTAGAGGATCATGTTAGTGGAAGTAGGAAGAAGATGTTACCATTGGTCTGGGGCCATGTGGCAGAATGGGTGACCTGTCATGTTCAGGCAGGAAGACATCCATGTTACAAAACTCCGCGAGTGGGCTTTGCTGAACCTTCGGCAACTAATCCTAAATCTTGGAAAGATCTTCGGCCTCTCTGAGAACCTCCAAAGCCCCCACTGGGAAGTGGGAATAATGGCATGAGAATACGATCATAATCATTTGCTTCCAATTTATGAGGATTTCAGGCCTTGTTCCCATCATCTGGTTTGTACTAGTTAACATTTATTGAGCACCTACTATGTGCCTGGCATTGCCCCAGGCACTTTACATAAGTTATCATAGGAAAAGGGATGGATAATATGTCTTCCTTTAAACATATGGAATCCAAACTTCAGAGAGTTTGAATAATGACCCAAGGTCACACATCCAAAAAGGGGCAAAGCCAAAATACTTACCCAGGGTGCAGAGCAGGTGTGTTTTCTTTTATGCCTGATGCACTAAAATAACCAGTTCCTTTTATTCAACAACTCTCAGGATGAAGTACAAAACTCTTCAGAAAGAGCTTAGCGTTGCAAAACGAAACATCCTGGAATGAGATGGTAAAAAACACATTTCAAAAGAACATAACAAGGTTTTTAAAAAATGTGTCTCCTCTCATTGTTTTTCTTTTTTCCTCATTATGAAAGCAATTCATGTTCACTGTGGAAATTTGGAAAATACAGAAAAGTATAAAGAAGAAAATAAAAATCACCCTAATCTTATTACAGGAAGAAAAGTACTGTTAACATTTGTTTTATATCCTCCCAGCATTTTTATATGCCTAAATGTACATATGTATTTTTTAACATAATTGGAAGTGTCCTGCCAATTTGCTTTCCAGAAAGGTTGAACTAATTTACTATCCTACTAGCAGTGTTTAGAACTGCTTCCTTCACCCTGGCCAGCATAGGGGATTTTCTTTTTGTCTGTGAATTTAATAGGTTTAAAAGGTAGTGCCTTGTTTCCATTTGCATTTCTTTGATTACTGAAAAGGCTGAGTTCAAAACAAATTTCTAATAGCTAATAAGCTTATTAGACACTTGTATTTGCCATATGGAGAATTGATTTTTATGTCTTTTGTTCAGTTTCTTTCACCGGAATTTTTCTTTTATATTTCTTATTGATTTGTAAGAGCTCTTTATATATGTTAGCTTTAAAATTTGGGGGTTATTGGGGATATGCATACTCTCCCCTTGGTCTTGCATATTTTCACAGTTTCTTTTTAAGAAGTTGGCTCTCTGGCTTCTTAATTTGGCTTATGATTTTGGGGAGAGGAGTAAAAAAGAGATTTATTTCTTTTAATTGTGGTAAAATATAGCATTCTTTTCCTTATGATAAAGTTTAAAAATATGAATTTAAGACATTATCCTGTCACTGTAGATTACTCATTACTAGTCCTAGTTTCTCTAGCTTGATGGTCCTCAAACATAACTGCAAATTATATTGCCCCAGATCATTTAAAAAGAGATAGTCTATAACCAACTTCCAGCTACTTAAGTAACCAGAAGGGAGAGTCATCTGTGATTTGCCTGAGTTAAAAAAAAATTCCCAATGCCTTGGTTACTCCAAAGCAATTGAATCTTGTTGGGGGCGGGGGGTGGTGGGGTAGGGGCAGTAAGAGAGGTTGAACTTGGGATTCAGTATTTTACAATCTTCCCTGGTGAGTGCAATGAGCAGCCTTGGCTAAAGACCACTGCTTTAGCCCCACTCTACCCACAAGGGGAGGGATCATTGTAGGAGGTGATATAGCCACTACAAATCAGTAATAATGCAAAGTCTAACCACCACCCCCATTTATGAAATACATAATACCAAAATGGACCTCTTTCTTCTTGGAGGAGAAAATAGAATGTGGCAAAGCTAGCAAATTTTGGGTAGTGGGATGGGATGGCATGGTTATGCTCTTCAGAAAGAGAAGTACTCTGATCTAAGCCATCTGTAGAAGAACAGGAAATGCAGAGAGAAGATGCAGTGCTGAAGTCTGGTTTTATTATGTCCATTTTACTCACAAGAGATTGAGTGCCGGAGCAGAGGTTAGGCTGAGTCATGTGTTCTGAATTTTGAGGAAAGGGGAATTGTGCCATCCATCCATCCTAGCAGGGGCGGGGGCTTGATGGAGGTTCTTTCTCCCAGGGTCTTGTCTATATTTTGAACAACTGACAATGCTGGGTAGTGGAATCTCTCTTCTCATTCTTCACCTATTGTTGGGAATTTCATGAAAAATAGCTCAAACCAAATATGCTATTTTCGGTTACTTTAGTCTAGGATTCTCCAAGCCACTATTCTTTTTGGGGACACTGTAGTTGGAAGTTGGCTAGACTCTCACATTCCATCCTTAAAGGTTGGGGGTCTATAGTCATGTCTGCAGACAACAATGTCACCTTCCGGAACCGTTACAGAGTCCCACCTACAGTGCCCAGTTAATTGGAGGTTAAATCCACACTTATTTGATACATGCAAACTCAATCCTCAGAACAGCTCTAAGAAGCTGATAACATTTTTTTATCCCCATTTCACAGATAAGGAAACTGAGGCACACAGTTTAAGTCACACAAATCTCAAGGCCACTCCGGCTGTTGAACAGTGGAGAAGAAACATCGGCAAAGGCTGGAACAATCTTCCTGCCTTGTCCCCAACCCGACCAGCCTCAAGTCCCCCCACTGCATGCTTGTTACCGCCTTTCTCCCCTTTTCTCCGTCCTCAGCCTGGGAGATCTGCTTCTCAAAGCCTTTCTTCATCAGAGTGTGACAGAGTTTCTCTCCAGAGCAGCTCCTGGCTTGTAATTACTAATCAGATGGAGGCAATCAAGCTGCATTTCCATGGCCCCATTTTCCACCCCTCACCCCCTCTAGGGACACCTTTCTGGGGGCAAGGTGACTCCTTCAGGAATTCAGATTAACATCAACAACAGGGGTGGGGAGGGTAAGAGGATGGAGAAAGGCATCAAACTCGTTTGCAAATTGCAAATGACAAGGCATCTTCAGTGCTAGTTTGCTTTCTGCTATTTTAAGGGGACTCATTTAGCATAATATTTGCATCGTTTGTGTCTTACCCGATAATTAGGAGTAGAGACAAATTCTTCTTGTTCCCAGACTAAGGGCATTGGAGTGGAGAATAAAGGAAGCTGTGGAGACCGCACTAAGGCAGTAAAACCTTTAAAAGTTATTTACCCCCAACTCCCACTCTCTTGCGAAAGTTCCCTCAACACCAGACATTCTAAACTGGGGTCACTGTTCATTGTTTGGTTTCAGGGAGCCTACAATCCCCCTGAAACTCTAAGCAGAATTCTGTGTTTATGGAATTACTCGAAATTCCATAAATTCTGGGGGGAGTATCCCTAGTGTCCTTCAATCTCAAATTAAGGATGATTCTCAGTAGGCATCAGTTTAGTTTCCCAGTGTCATCTTGATTTTCCTTTAGGAAACCGGTCCTCCTCTGCTCCCTTTCCATTTTTAGGTCTGTCCAATTGAACGTTCTATGAGGATGAAAAGGCTCCAGAGAGAGCAGCTCCCCACAAAAGAAGGCTAAGAAGCTACTATTACTGTCTGACACAGCCATGAGGGTCCCTGGTGGTCTAATTTTGATCTGGTTTCTGCCCAAGCCTGACAAATTCTTCTTCCCCTCTGATTTACTTGCAATGTTGGTGGATCATTCAGTAATGTGTCAGTGGCTGAGTGGATTTAAATGCAAAATACCGTTATCCTTCATTAAAAGGCCCGTCATCACTGGGCTTGTGTGTGAGAGTGTTTATGCAATTAGAGACCCTTGACATATGGCCCAAGAATGACCATCCCATCCTGGGGTTCCTGCTTCCCTCTCTGGGATGATCATCTTCTGACTCGGCTGCTGATGTTGATAAGGACAAAGCAAAGCCCCATGGAGTCAAAGTTATGTAAGGATTTAGGACAATGCTACTTCATTTTCACCAGTGTGATAGGAATCAGGGCAGAATCCTATTACCTTCTAGAGGAGATGCATTTTCTGTCTTTCTCATCATTGGATCCTCAGGCCTGCCTTTAAATCTGTATTCTTGGTGGGAATTGTATGGGGACCATAGCCAAGATGAAAATGCATACATTGTGCAATGTAAAAAATATATAAAATTAAAAAATTAAAAAAAATTGTGACTGCCTTAAAATTGTCTATCTTTTGACTTTTAAAAGTATAATGGGTAGCTAGGATGGGATTTGCCAATGGTTAGGAACACAGCTTTTGGAGTTGGACATAACCATGCTCATGATTCTGCCTCTTATTCATTGTGTGACATTGAACAAGTTATTTAACCTTGTTAAGGTTAAATGAATTTGCTAAGTTTTCTGAATTTCCATTGAGGAATAATGGTGTGGCAGAGACTGGTGGATCCCTAAACTATAGCCATGTCTCATTTCTTTTTCTTGTGACCACTTTCCCCTATAGAAGTTGACAAAACTGGAAACTTCCCCAGCCTCCCTTGAGTTGATGGTCACCATGTGACCAATGAGATAAAAGGGGGATTGACATAGAGTCAATTATTTTATTTATTATTTTATATATTTTTTACATGATTTTTCATTTATGCACAATGTATGCATTTCCATTTTGGTTATAGTCCCCACACAATTCCCACCCCTCTTATTTTGACCCTAATCCCTCCTCCCCCAACCCCAACCCCCACAGTGTGTCTCTGGTTTATAGTTCCTTGTTGATTTTGATTTTTACTTTATTATAATTAGTCTTTTTCCTGGTCCCTTATTTAGGTTTTCTAAATTCCTGCTACGAGTGAGACCATGTAGTATTTTTCTTTTTCTTTCTGGCTTATTTCACTGAGCATGATCCCTTCCAGCTCCATCCATGTTGCTGCAAATGGCATGAGTTTATCTGTTTGATTGCTGAGTAATATTCCATGGTGTATATGTTCCACATCTTCTTGATCCAGTCATCTATTTTGGGCATTTGGGTTGTTTCCATAGCTTAGCTATTGTAAATAGTGCTGCTATAAACATAGGGGTGCAGGTGCCCTTTTGAATTAATGATTCTGTGTCCTCTGGGTAAATATCTAGGAGTGGAATTGCTGGATCATATAGAAGCTCCATCTTTAGCAGGTTGAGGAATCTCCACACAGCTTTCCGTAGTGGTTGAACCAGTTTGCACTCCCACCAGCAGTGTAGGAGAGTTCCTTTTTCTCCACATCCTCACCAACATTTGTTGTAACTAGCTTTCTTATTAATATGTGCCATTCTCACTGGTGTAAGATGGTATCTCGTAGTTTTGATTTGCATTTCCCTGATTACAAGTGATGTTGAACTTTTCATATGCCTGTTGGCCATTTGCATTTCCTCTTTGGAGAAGTTCCTTTTTAGCTCTTCTGCCCATTTTTTGACTGGATTATTTACTTCGTTTTTGTTGAGTCTCTTCAGCTCCTTGTAGATTTTTGTGATCAGTCTTTGCCATTAGTGTTGTGTGCCAAAATTTTCTCCCAGTCAGTGGGGTGACATAGAGTATTCTGGGAATGATTTTTATCTAATGAATATGAGAGTAGTGCCTGAGGATAAAGATCTTGTTCCTTTT